GTGAAATTTTATACAGAGCCCCATTTTATTAAATAGATAAAAGGGTCATAACTCTGGATGAAGCAGAGGTAAGGGTTATTCTGATCTTCCTTTGGGGTTCCTGGAGTGTTTTAAGGAACCCTGTAGGTGGCAGAGATAACTTGAGGGCCTTTGATGTGGTAGAATAAACATAAGGTTTGTAATGGGTTGCTAACTTTACTATTTTGCCATGTGACTGACATTGGGAAAGTTGCTATTCCTTCAGCCTCATTTATGAAACCTACCTCAACAATTGTTGCTAGTTCAGTACCTAGGTGCTTAGAATGGCAGCTTAGTGAAAGGTAGTGTCTTCACCCCTTCACCCACCTTTCTATGCTTATGACTCCAAACATATCTTCAGTAGCAGTAAAAGTAGGCATATCCTAACTTCAGACTATGAAACTCAAAGATATCATTTTGCCAAGCTGTTTTGATACTCATGGTTGTTTTGGTTTGGTTTGGTTGGTCAGTGAGTTTGTTTTTTGAAACAACCAAAAATTTTAATTTTTTCTTGGTTCTTTGGGGGACTGAGTTAGCTGTTACTCCAGGGTTGAGCGGTGACTAGGAAGGGATACCTTCTGGAAACATATAGTTTGTTTGTTTTATGGTACTAGGGATCAAACCCAAGGCCTTATGCATACAAGGCAAGCACTCTACCAACTGAGCTATATCCCCAGCATCATAGTTGGGGTTTTAAAAAAATTTTTGTTCTAATTAGTAGAATACATTTGACACATCATACATAAATGGAGTATAACTTCTCATTGTACATGATGGAGAATCACACCAGTCGTGTAATCATATATGCACATGGGGTAATAATGTCCAATTCGTTCTACTGTCCTTACTATCCCCATATCCCCTCCCTTCACTCTCTCCTTCCTAATCCAAAGTAACTATTTTTTCCTAGCCACTACCCCCCACCATATAGTTCTTGATCTGGGTGTTAGTTATGTGGGCTATGTTCACTTTGCAAATTCATTGTTATATACTTAATTTATCATTTTCTGTACTTTATTAAAGACAATTTAAAAGGAAAAATAGCCTTAGACATTACTATTCTTTAGTGTTCCCCATTGGTGTCTATATATAGAAGTAGCCCAGTGCCTTTTCTTTTTTTTTGGTTTTTGTGAAGGAAGAAGAAGGTTAATAGTACTGTGACAAACCTAGTGCTTTAATCATAGATGAATTAGATGCCTCTCTTGTCTGTTTGATGGCAGCTTGTATACTGTTTCGAGAGACTACCTTCAGCTTGATTGAACTCTTGACCTAAAATGTTATGTTGCACTGTTGGCAGTTGATTAGCTCCAAGGTGACAGGGTGCTGAAATTATCATTATCTAGAAAATGCTTTCATTGGGTTAAATTATAAAGTTTTAGCAAATAAATGGTTGTTTTTAATGTCAGAGAATGGGTAAATAATTATGTTCTATAAGGAGTTTTAATACAACTCAGCAAATCATAGGATAATTTTATGTGCAGACTATTTGGAAATAGAAAAACGTAAAACACTGGGTTTTGTATTTGTGTTTTGCATGTTTTCGAAGCCTTCAATTCTGTGTGGTCCAAGAAAAAAAAAATTCAGCCTTTATTTACTTTAAATTCCCAAGACTTTGTTTTCAAATCAATTAACTCTACACATACTCACTCTTATGTAAGAAAAACATCAACATCAGTATACTGGGCTTTCTTGGGACATGTTTTGGGAAAATGCAAATGAGCGTGAACTGAGAATAAGAAAGACTGAGAATGAGAAGTGGAAGAAATAATTGAGGTAGGAAGAAGGAAGAGGTGTGTTCTTCTAGTTTTGATTTGCTTTTATCATAGGAAGGCTAAATGTTTTCTTTTACAACTTAGTTTATAAAAATTACTCTATCTGCAGGATGTGTTTGTTGTTCTAAGCATTTAGAATGTTATTTTAAAAGTTCACATAGGTAAATTGGGAAGTGATGAGGAATTTTAACAGTGACAGCACAGGTGTATACTGTGTGCTAGGTGCTATACATTTTAATTTTTGCTGTACACTTGATTCTTTTTATTTTTACCCCTCCATACTGGGATTTGAACCTATTGGTGCTTTATGACTGAACTACATCCCTATCCCTATTTGGTATTTTTTGTTGTTGTTGTTCATATTTTTTTAGTTATACATGGACACAATATCTTTATTTATTTATTTTTTTAATGTGGAGCTGAGGATTGAATGTAGTGCCTCACAAGCACTGTGCCACTGAGCCCCAACCCCCAGCTACCTATTTTCTTTTTCTTTTATTTTTTTTAAGAGAGAGAGAATGTTTTACTTTTTATTTTTCAGTTTTCGGTGGACACAACATCTTTATTTTATTTTTATGTGGTGCTGAGGATCAAACCCAGCGCCTCACTCATGCCAGGCAAGCATGTTACCACTTGAGCCACATCCCCAGCCCCTTTCTTTTTATTTTAAGAAAGGGTCTCACTAAGTTGCTGAGTCTGGCCTTGAACTTGTGAACCTCTTTTCTGTGCCTCCTGAGCTGCTGGGATTACAGGTGTGGTCCATTGCACCTGAGTGAATCTCCGTTTTTGAAGAACTGAGGCTAAGAAATGTGAGAATAGAAATGAAGAGAGGATAAGAAATATTCCTAAGGTCGTGTTTTTATAAAAAATATGATAGTGTAAAAAAAATATATATATATATATGGCTATTTCTGTGTAGCCATGACCAGTAGAGAAACCTCTAACTGCTGGGGACTGTTCCTTGTCGCTCGTTTGGAGTCATCCAATTATTATTAATATAATTTGAAAATTACTCTTACCCAAGACAAAAGCTGAACTATTCTTTTCCCAAAGTATTATTGGTAGGTTAGTAGTGATTTATAAATACGTAATTAGGATTGATTTTTCTCAGTGTTTCTTCATTGCTCAGCCTCTTTCTAACCTTCATTGACTGAAACCAGATGCTTATATCACCATCTCTGATTCTGCAGAATTGATCTGTCCTTATACATAGCATTGATTCTGTATGGAACATAATTGTTTTTTTGAGGCATATGCATCCATAGCTCTTTTAGTCTGGGATTGTGCTCCATAACTTTAAGTATTTAATTGAAAAGAATGTGCTAATATTTAGTCATTGTGGGTCTGCTAACAAAAAATAGTTAAAATCTGCTAGAGGAATACATCAAATTTTAAGGAAAATCAAAGATGTGAGTGTTGGATTTTGTTCGAAAGTAAATAAGGAGGCTGTCATTTTTGTTTAAATAACAAAACCCTCTTAAAAGATGACACAGCTGGAGCTTCTGACAAAACTTGATCTCAGAGCTGGGGGTATAGCTCAGTGGTAGATGCATGCTCAGCATACACAATGCTCTGGGTTCAGTTCCCAGTGCCTAAAAATAAAAGCAACAGACTTGATCTTACAGTACAAATGTGATTTATTGAGATCTTGTTTTGAAGGTCAAAGATGTTTCTCTCTAATAAAATAACTGTTTTAGATCTTAAGAATTTGATTTCTGGTAGTTTTCAAAAATGACACAGACAATGGAGAATTAGTTGGTATTAATATACAGTTCCATTTAGGTAAAGATGTTATACAGGTAGTTGCAGATAGCCTCAGCTACTGGATTAGTTTATAACAGTTGTCTGAGAAAAAAATATCCGGGTGAAACATGATGGTGGCTTTGACTAGGGTGAGAATGTTAAAGAGAGTTGGAAGTGGTTAGGTTATGGATATATTTAAAGGTAGAGCCATCACAATACACTTTTGGGGCCTACCATAGTGACACGTGCTGAGGCTGAGGCAGGAAGATCACAAATTAAAGGCCAACTTCAGTAGGTTAGTGAGAATCTCTCAAAAAAAAACTTATAAAATGACTGAGGATATATGTAGCTCTGTAGTAGAATGCCCCTGGTTTCAGTCCCCAGTATTAAGAAAACAAACAAAAAAGAATTCACTCTTGGGTATGAAAGAAAGACATGTTAGGAGTTTAACAGTAAAATGGTGTTGCCATTATCTACCATAGGAAAACTTGTGTTGGAGGAACCAACTTCTGTATACAAATAGATATTTGTACTTGGCCAGCATTTGGAAGCACTCAAGAAAGCTTGTAGAAAAACTCCCATTAGAATTTGTGAAAGAGACTGAAATAAAAGGTTGCATGTAGATAAAAGGAGCACTATGTTATATATTACAGTGTGTGTCATGCATAGTGACATTTATAAATGTTCTCTATTAGGCAGTTTGCCATAGATGGTTTAAATAGGGTGTTCATTCATTCTGCAGTGAACCTTGAAATCCTCAGTGTTTATAATTGTCAAGCCTCTTGATTGTTAAATATTTTATAAAGATACTTCTGGGTATTATAAGCATACCAGATTTTTATTTTTACTTATGAGACAAATTTTATTCATAGTAATTCTGAATTTTTATTTCTTAAAGTAGAGATCTCTAAAATTTACTTCAGAGATGGGATTGTTATATTTTACAGTTGTGTAATCAATAGACCATTTACTTTTCTGTGACTCCATTTCTTTATCTGTGAAATGGGGGAAAATAATAGCACATATATCTTACCATTGACAGAAGGGATTAAATTAGTTCTTTCATGGAGAGTACTCAACAGGGCCTCGAATATAGTTAGTGCTCAATAAATGTCAACTACTGCTAAAAGGAAAAGTTTGTTTCTAAGGTTATTGGCTGTGCGGATACATTAGTTAAACCCTCTAGTTCCTGAACTTAAACAGATTCTTTATTCTTTTATTCATAGTACATATTTATGATAATACTCTTTTGAAAATAAAATGGTCTTTACTCTTGACTTTTAAGAAATTTAGCAAAATATGTCGTATGTAATTTTTAATTGTTCTTTTGCCAAATACTGATTGAAAAGTTTTTTGGGAAATTTTCTTATAAGTAACTGGCTTATATTTTATATGTCATATTTTATATATCTGGCATTTTGATTTTAAACCACTTTCTAACCCCAAATTACAATTTTGTCATTTCAGGCAAGAAGACAACAAGACCCTAGTCCTGGTTCCAATTTAGGTGGTGGTGATGATCTCAAACTTCGTTAATAATAGCACAGCAAATGTGCTGCCCATCTTTACATACACATTGCTTCTAGTTGGCAGAAATAATTCATTATAAGACCAGAAACTGTGATAACTGGAGGTACTACGGTCTATTTCTCAAACCTAAGGCAGTAAAAGACATCACAAACTGCCATGGTTTTGCACTATGATTATAATACAATACCTACATTTCTAATTTTTAAAGCATGTAGCCAGTAATAATTTGAAATTTTTTTCTATGCAAGCTTACCTTGTTGGCATTATTTTAATTCAGTTGAAACTATCAATTTGTAAAGCTCTTTTTTCCTCCATTCTAATTTAAAGTTCATGTCATTTTAAAACAAACTTAAGTTTTTAATCCAGAGGGCTTTCTTTAATCAGTTGCTTTTTTTTTTAATACTTTTAGATATGTTGGTTACAGTTTCTTTTTAAATAGGCAGTCTTGATTTGTTTTTTTTTCCTGCATTTCCTTTTGTTTTTATTGTCTATTGCATTTAAAAACTGTTGATACGTTTGCATTATTTACAAGCTAAAAACCTAGTAGCATAGAACTGTCTGCCATAGCCTTTTACCACAAAGTTTACAGTTGTTAAAGTTGCAGTATCCTTTTAAATGCTAATAATGAGCACCCTTTCTTTCCTTTTTAAACATAAAAAATTTAAATTTTTATTAACTCTGTAATCTGCCCCAGGTGTGTTTTAGATTCTGCTTTGTAATCATGAGTTTGGGTGGAGATTTTCTCCTTAGATGATAACATTCTACTGAAATGCCTAAAGAAGTCACAGGCTGGCTTCTGTTTTATTCAGGGATTTTTTTTTTTTAAATCAATCAAAAGGGATACTGGAGCTTCTTTATGTATGTAACAACATATTAAACTGGAGACAGTGATGAATCAGCTACAAAGGTAATATTATATTAAAATCATGTTTAAGATAGCTGCTTTTATGTGTTTTATAGTGCATGCTTTTGTAAAAACAATACTGGGTAATGAAAGATTAGTCTTAGAAAATGTTCATCTGTGCAGAGGATACATTTTCTTTATTCTGGGGGAAAACATTCACAATTATATATGGTATTTTGCAAAAGGACTATTATTAGCACCTTTTGAGATGAATAGTTAAGAATATTTTTTAAATAGGCTTACTGTCAAATTGGGTGCAACTTTTTTTTTTTAATACAAGACTGGAAGAAAGTGCTGAGTCATTTGGCACAAACTTACAAATACTTTTCATGGTCATGTTCATTAAATGTTAATACATTTCTGAATTTTTGCAAAAATGTATTTTATCATAACAAAATGGCATTATTTTGAAGAGTAGAAAAACTGACACATAATTCAGAAAATGAAATCTGAATAAGGTCATTGCATTTAAAAAGCATATAAATATACTTGATTGATGAAGGAGGTGTGATTTTTCGATGTATATAGGTCTTTTAATTCATAAACAGATATCCTGTATCAGAATAAAAAATATTTGTTATATATTTGAAGTCATGCATGGTAAGGAGTGTGTTTAAATTGTTACAAACAATAATACATCATAAAAAACCATGCTGATCTTGTGTAACTAAGTACTATGAATGAATTTGGTTGGTATTTGGTGTTGTGCAGCTCACATGTTTACACACTCAGTGCCCTAATTTCCCCTGAGGGAATCGCCTTTTAAGTGATCCTTACAGTGGTGTTTTAAGGTTACTTTATCACAGAGCTCCTTGGTTTTTGACTTCTGCACTTAATATTTTTTTAATAACATGATGATGGTACATTTTTCTCTATTGCTTCCAGCTAAGGGCTTTTAGTCCACCAGTATAAGATCAAATGTTAATAAATAAATGTTCCTGTTGCCATTCTTCTGTAAATACTGGATTTCCCCGTGTCGTTTAGTACTGTGTTGCTTCTGTCTGTCTTAATGCTGGCATTAAGATTATAAGCCCTTTTTCTCCAGTAGTGCAGGCCTTGAAAACTTCTTTTTTTAAGTTATTGATGCAATTTGATATGTTTTCATAATCCATATTTAAGCAAAATTACATCATTGTATCAGCTTTTCTAAATTCATCTCCATCAAAACTTGCCTTAAGCTACCAGATTGCTTATGCCACCATTAGCCATTCTGTGTGTTACATGTTTTACTTTCACAATAAACTTATGTGTAGTGAAAAATAGGTCTTGGCTCTTTATTGACGTAATCTGATCATTTCTATCCCAGAGTTAGTTATGACATGAAAATTGATTCTATTGTTTGATCCTGCTTTTTGACTTATTGATTAAAAAAAAGCAACAGTGACATCTAGTGGTCATTTCTTCTAATTCCAAAGAAGATTTCCCCACCAACTCCCTTTTTCCCCTCTGTGCCAGAAATAACAGCTTTTAAATTGTAGAGGTAAGGCTGGGTGTGGTGGCACACACCTGTAATCCCAGCACCTTGGGAGACTGAGGCAGGAGGATCTCAAGTACAAGACCAGCATGGGCAACTTAGCCATACTGTCCCAAAATAAATAAAAAGTGCTGGGATGTAGCTCAACACTAGAGCACTCCTGGGTTCATTCTTCATATTGCAAAAAATAAAATAAAAATAAATGAAGTGATTTCAAATGAAATGTATATCATGATTTTGCCCTTCCTATGAGGTATAACTGTAAAGCAGTGACCCTTGAGGGGAATATTAAAAATAATACATACACACAGGGGCTGGGGTTGTGGCTCAAGCAGTAGCACGCTCGCCTGGCATGTGTGCGGCCCGGGTTCAATCCTCAGCACCACATATAAAAACAAAGATGTTGTGTCTGCCAATAACTAAAAAATAAATATTAAAATAATAATAATAATAATACACACAGATTAGTACTATCTTGCTAGTTTTAGGAATGTACACTAATTTTTATTGTGTTGGCATTATATCATACATTCTTAGGACTTGTATTTTCTTAAACTATAAAAATAAGCCTTTTGCTTTAGAAATGTGACTTTCACTTGATCAATAATGAACACATTTACTTATTTATCAGATTTACTGCAAATAACCAAAGTACCTTTAAATGCTGAATCAAAACATTAAGGAAATTCCAACAAGTAGGATTCATATTCTGAGGCTTAATTTTAAAAACTGATTAGTAACACCATGATTTTAGTTAGTATATCACTTGTAGAAACAGATATTAGGATATGCTTATTTTGGGTTGCTTTGTGACAAATACCTTACTTAATTTATGCTTCATTTGGCAATGGGGAGCTTTTCAAACTATAAGCTCTAATCCATTGCTGCATGTGAATATGAATAACACATTACCCCAGAATTTGGCAGATGAAAGCAAATATTGATTATCTCAGTTTTGCAGGTCAGCAATCTAGAAGTAGCTAAGTTCAGTAGTTCTGGTTTTGGGTCTCAGGTTAGAGTTAACCCAGGCCACAGTCATCTGAATATTTAACTGGTTAAAAAATCCTCTTCCATCCTTACTGATGGTAATTGACTGCCCTCAGTTTCTGGCAGTCTGTTAGACAAATAATTTGGTTCCTTACTAAGAGTTAAGACAGAAACCTTCAATTCCTTGCCATGTGAGTCTCTCCATGGCACAGCTAATAATATGGCAATAGGCTTCCCCTAGGGCAAATGAACCAAGACATCATTTGTCCAATATGAAAACTACAGTCTTCTAAATAACTTAATCTTAGACTTCCCTAGGTTCTCATTAAAATTGAGTCACTATATCTGGCCCACACTCAAAGGGGAGGAGCATTAAGCATCTCCTGAAGGGAGAGATGTCAAAGAATTTGTGGACATGTTTTTTAAACCACCATAGCCATATTACCATACACATATATACACACACACAAGTATTTACAAGACAACTTTGGTGTTTTAATCTTCAAAACATTTTTTAAATGTAATGTTATAATCTTTTAGAGGTAGATTTCAGAGAATGATTTCCCTTAGATTCCATCAGCTCCTTTTCTTGCTTCACCACCATAATTCAAGGCATTTCAAAAATGTTCCAGAGTTCAAATGTTGGATGGAATCAATGATGGAAATTGCAGCTTTGTATGTTTACATATAGGATACTTCAAAACAAGTGACTCAGTTATTATTGTCCTTAGCAGTCCCAGTGGTTCAGGATACTGAGGCAGGAAAATGGCGAGTTCAAATGGTCAGCTTCAGCAACTTAGTGAGGTCCTGTGTCAAAATATAAAATGGGCTGGGGATGTGGCTCAGTGGTTAAGTACACCAGGGTTCAATTCCCAGTTAAAAAAAAAAAAAAAAAAAAAAAAAATATATATATATATATATATATATATATATATATGCGCCTTATTCGGGTTTCAGAAAGTTTAGGGAAATATGAGTAATATAAAGTGGAAATTTTTTTATTATAGGAGATAATATATGTCCACACTTCTGGTATGGTATGGTGGCTATTGAGCACATGAAATAGATTAATACAATTGAAGAACTGAATTTATTGTTTGTTAAACTTTGTAAAAATTGAAGTGGTGGCCTGGGGTTCTTGGCTCAGTGGTAGAGCACTTGCCTAGCACATGCAAGGCACTGGGTTTGATCCTCAGTACCACATAAAAATAAATAAAAGTATTGTGTCCAATTATAACTAAAAATATTTTAAAAATAATAAAGATGTCCATCTATAATTAATAAGAAAGTATTTTTCTGTTAAAACTTATTGTTTTAGGGAAACTACATTTCACTTCAACCTTTGCAAATTTAGTGCCCAAGTTGTGATGTACTGTTAGTATAAAATATCAGATACCAAAGACTTAGTATATAAAAGAGAAAATAATCTCACTAGTTTTTTCACTAGTTTTTAATTTTGACTACATATTAAAATTATTTTTAATGTACTGGGTAATATTGGTATTTGATACATTGAGTTAAATACATTATTTAAATTTTTTTCATTTTAATGTGACTACTAGATAATCCTAAAGAAAATCTTATAAGTGGGTAAGTACATGGATCATTAAAATGGAAGGAAAAAATTATAATGGAAAATGTTGAGGCTCAATTGTTAAAAAAATTAAAACAAAACATGAATTTTTATCTCCTAGGATCATTTAAGGGAATTAATACATATCCATTGCCCAAAATAAACACGGTTGGTGCTCCTCAGAGAAGCTACAGTCTGGCCCCAAAACTGATCCAAAGCAGTAGGAACCTTTTAAGTTATATTGGAAGTGTCGCCTGTTAGAGTATATCTATGATGGTCTGGGTGGGGGTGGGTGGGGAGGGAATGCTTTCCTGAGGAAATATGTGAGATCTGAAGGGTGGCAGACACAACAGCTGGGAAAGTTGACACAAGAATTATAGGAAACCAGCCAGTTTCAGAAACAGCATCAGAATATGATCACGACATGGAATTTGAAGGGGTTGCAGTAGTGAAATGAATCCAAAAGCGTTAGCAGAGACCAGGGTAGAAGTCACAAGTAGTGCTGAACTGGCTTTGCTAGCCATATGAAAACATTGGGATCATTGCTAAGGGTGAACCAGAAGCCACAGAGGGGTTGTAAGCTTGATGGAATGAGCAATTGAGAAAATCCATTTTGGTTGATTAAAGAGAAGGCTAGAAGCAATAACTTTGTTGCACCTGACCATAAGGTGACCTGGTAGGGAGACTTAAGGTTAGCCTAGTGGGCTTGGAGACATTTCAGAGCTGAGAGGAAAAGTATAGGGAACAGAATTTTTAGATTTCTTCATTTCTCTTATAGTCAGAACAGGCTGGTTGTATTGCCTTAAAACACACAAAAAAATATTTTTAATTGATTTAAAAGATTTATCCTTTATGTGCTGGGCTCAGTGGCGCACATCTGTAATCCCAGCAGCTTGGGAGACTGAATCAGGAGGATTGCAAATTCAAAGCCAGCCTTGGCAACTTATCAAGTTCCTAAGCTACCCTGTCTCAAAAATAAGTGCTGGGGATGTGGCTCAAAGGTTAAGTGCCCCTGGGTTCAATCCCTAGTACCAAAAAAAAAAAAAAAAAAAATTATCCTTTATGTGATGAATTAAATCAGTCGTTCACCTAGGCTGACAGCAGTACTGGAACATGGACAGCCATTGTGAAAGAACCAAGAAAATAGTGTCATGAAAGAAGTACTGGTTTTGGAAACTCACCTGAAATTGACACATGTCCTCTGTTTTCAATGGACCAAGCTAGACACAACCACACCCAGCTTAAGCTCTGCATGGAACTGCAGGCCTACTTTTTGCCCAGAAGGGAGTCAATATTTATGAATAACTAATAGTTACCATGAATTCCTATTTCAATGATTAAGTATTTGGGGCTGGGATGTAATTCAATAGTAGA